TCTCGGACGGCGTCTCCAGAGCCGTCTTGGCCCCCCCCCCGCCCTTCCCCCCTTTGGGCGCAATCGGAGGCCAAGGCAAACAGCAAGACATGTAAGTCCGATTGCCGCGGGGGGGCGCCCTCCCTCAGAGGATGGGCAGGGCTGCTATCTGGGCGCGCTCTGTGCGTCACCCCGCGGCCCGATCGGCAGTGGGCCTCTGCCGCCAGTAGGACCCTGCCCCACTCGGTCCTTCCGTTCGCCTTCCCAGCGGAAGGCGGGCAGAGGGGAGGTCCATCCTTGCCCTCCGATTGGAGGGCGATGGCATGCCCTAGGGGGGTGCGGTGGCTGGCCCAATAACCCCAACTACACCCAAAGACACGCAAGGCACACAGGACCCCGAGACCCGAGCCACCCAAGAACTCGATGGCACCCGAGGGTACCCCAATACCCCCAATACCCCCAAGACCCAAGACCCCCAAGACCCGCTTGGCCCAAGACACCCAGGACCCCCTAGACCATCCAAGACCCCCAAGACCCCAACATGCACAAGACCAATATAATAAAGGCCCCAAACAACCACAGACACCAAAGGGACTCAAGACCCCCAAGACCCCCAAGACCCCACGATCCCTCAACCCCCCTCCCCCTCCCCAAGGCACCGCCGCAAGACCCCCATGACCCCCGAGGCCCCCCACGGCCCAATACCCCCGATACCCACAAGACCGTCGCCAAGACACCCGAAGACCCCAAAGACCCCCAAGGCCCTCAAGAACCCCGCGACCCGAAAATCCATCAAGCGAAGAGGCACAGATGCCAAACATGCGCGTTTTCTTCAACGGCCAAAGACCCAAAGGGCCCCAAGACCCCACGGCCCCCCGACCCCAAGACCCCCACGACCCCCCCCCCCCCCAAGGCACCCCAGACTCTGACACCCAAAGGCACCCTTGGCCCTTGGCCCACGACCCCAAGACCACCAATACACCCAAGACCGCCCCAAGACCCCCAAAACTTCAAGAGGCCCAAGGCACCCTAAGGGGCCCCAAACGCCCAACGCCACTAAACGCGACCCGAGACCCACAAGACCCCTTATGACCCCCAAAGCTTCCCACGACCCCCAAGACACCCCACACCCCCAAGACCACCCAAGCCCAAGACCACCAAGACCCCCAAGACCCCAAAGGGACCCACGACACCCAATGCCCAATACCCCCAACGACCCCATACTACACCCACGACACCCAAGACTTCGAGGCCCAAGAACCCCAAGACCCCGATGGCACCCGATGATCCCCAAGACCCCCAAGACCCCCCTTGCCAAGACGCCCAAGACCTTGGCCCAAGACACCCAAGACACTCACGACCCCCAAGACCCCAAGACCCTTGCCAAGACCTAGGCCCAAGAACCCCTAAAGGCACCAAACACCACCAGACCCCAAAGGGGCCCAAGACCCCCAAGACCTTTCAAGACCCCCAAGGCCCAGCAAGACCCCCAAGACCCCCACGACCCCCCACGACACCCCAAGACCGACCCCCCAAGACCGTCGCCAAGCACCCGACGATGGCCCAAGACCCCCAAGGACCTCAGGACTCAAGACCCCCAAGACCCCGAGACCACCCAAGACCCCACTACTTCAAGGAGTCCAACACCCTAAAGGCACCAAAAGCCCACAGACCTCAAAAGGACCCAGGCACCCAAGACCCCCAAAGACACCCAAGGCCCCCCAGACCCCACAGCCTGTCACAGGCACCCCAAGAGCCCCCCAAGACCCCCGACCGCCAAGACCGCCAAGACCCCCGAGACCTTCAAGACCTCCCGCGACGCCCAAGAGGCCCACGCCACTCACGACACCCGATGGTGGTCCGAAACGCCCAAGGCACCCTAAGACCATCAAGCCGCCCCAAGGCACCCCAAAGACCCTCACTACCCTTAAGACCCCAAGACGCCCAAGCGGCCCAAGGCCCAAGAAGACCCCCAACGAACCTCACATACCCCCAAGACGCCCTACGACCCCCACGATCCCGCGATCCGAGACCCCCAAGACCCCGATGATACCACCCCAAAGACCAAGACCTCCGAAGGCACAGACCCCCAAGACCTTACGATCCCCAAGACCCCCCCAAGACGGCCCCCAAGACCCAACATATTCTAAAGGGCCCAAGATCCCCTAAAGGCCCCAAGCACTCAAAGACCCCACAGGGACCCACGACCCCCAAGACCCCCCCAAGAACCCACAAGCCCACCAAGTCCCCAAACGACCACCACGACCCCACATACCCACCCTACGACGGCCCAATACCCCCTAGACCCCCCGAGACCCCCAAGACCCCAAGACCCCCAGGACCCCCTAAGGCCATCTGAAGAAGACCCCCCCGACCCCCAAGACACCCCAAGATTCCAAGAGGCCCAATACATCGTAAACGCCCCAAACGCCCAAAGACACCAAAGGGCCCCAAGGCCCAAGCCCCCCAATACCCCCGAGACCACCCTAAGACACCTATGGCACCCCAAGACCCCCCAAGACCAACCAAGACCCCCAAGACACCAACGGCACCCAAGACCCACAATATGGCCCAAGACCACCCCCACGACGCCCAAGAGGCCCACGACACGCACGACACCCGATGGTGGCCCAAAACGCCCAAGGCAACCGTGACACCCAAGACGCCCAACACATTGAAACGCACTGGGAGACCGCAGAGGCAGCCCCTTGGTGTTGCCAGCGCGCGCAACTGCGGAGGAGAAGGGAGGAAGGGTGCGACTTTTGTGTCGCCGAGACGGCCAAACGACCTTTCACGAAACCCCTTCCTCAAATACCCAAGCACGTCTCCGCGTGCATGACCAAGGCAACACACATGGAGACAAACCAGCAAAAGAAGCCCAACACCACCTGACGGAAACCCAAGGTCCATCGGCCAATTGAAGCCGCAGGTCCCTTGTACAAGCCCAATGTCACCTGAAGAAGACCCAGGGCCCCATGACGAAGGCCCAAGCCCCCCCCCAGCAAGCCGAATGCCACCGTGGAAGCTCCAGGCCCTCCCCAACGACCCCCAGGACCCCCAGGACCCTCAAGACTCCAAGAGGCCCAAGACATCCTAAGTCCCCGAGGCGCCCAAGACACCCACGACGCACAAGGCGCCCAAGGGCACCCAGACGACCCAAGGCCACCAAGACCCCCAAGACCCCCCAACGATCCAAAGCCCTCAAGACACCCAAGACCCCCAGGGCACCCAAAACGGCCCAAGACCCCTCAAACGTCCAATACCCCAAAGACCACCAAGAGGTCAAGTACCCCGCAGATCCCGAAGCCCCCCAGCAGATCCACTATCACAAAGACTTCCAAGGGGCCCAAGACACCCCACGCGCCACCAGGCACCCACGACGCCGAACGCTCCACGAACCAAAAGACAACCCCCAGCCCACCCACCCCCATGACCATCAAGATACACCAAACCCAGAAGACGCCCGAGGGCCCAACACCCCCCAGGCACCCCGAGACTCTCCAAGACCCCCACGGCCCCGACGAAGCCCAAGACACCACAGACCCCCAAGACGACCAAGACCCCAGACCACCAACGGCATTGGAGATACCACAGACCACAAAGACACCATGTGTACACGACACCAAGGATACTCAAGAGCCCTACGACCCCCAGGCCCCAGGAGTTACTGCGGAAGCCAGAGGCGCCGAATAACCCCAGGACCCCCCCCCCAAAAAAAAAAATACCCTGGCGACGTACCCAACCCCTGCGCAAAAGCGGGGCGCAAATAGTTTAGGATACTTTATAAGGGGGCGATGACGGAGCGAGGGTTACATATGTCTGCAGACGGAATTCGGGAGACTCGCAGGACACTGGCTACAGGAAAAGGGCTTGATAAAGCTGATGATTTACAATTCCTGAGCACTCCTACCACTTCGAAAACGGGGATCACAGCAGGCCTCGAAAGTGGCGACAGGTTCACAGATCGCAGCCCCGCAGGGATGGCGAGGTCTCATTTGAATCTGCCCGTGGCCCTCACTGTGCTGGGCCCCCCAGCAGGCCTCGAAAATGGCGGCAGTTTCGCAGATCGCAGCCCCCCAGGGATGGCGAGGTCTAATTTGAATCCGCGCGTGGCCCTCACTGTGCTGGGCCCCCCAGCAGGCCTCGAAAATGGCGACAGTTTCGCAGATCGCAGCCCCCCAGGGATGGCGAGGTCTAATTTGAATCTGCGCGTGGCCCTCACTGTGCTGGGCCCCCCAGCAGGCCTCGAAAATGGCGACAGTTTCGCAGATCGCAGCCCCCCAGGGATGGCGAGGTCTAATTTGAATCCGCGCGTGGCCCTCGCTGTGCTGGGCCCCCCAGCAGGCCTCGAAAATGGCGACAGTTTCGCAGATCGCAGCCCCCCAGGGATGGCGACGTACCCAACCCCTGCGCAAACGCGGGGCGCAAATAGTTTAGGATAATTTATGAAGGGAGGCGATTACGGAGCGAGGGTTACATATGTCTGCAGACGGAATTCGGGAGACTCGCAGGACACTGGCTACAGGACAAGGACTTGATAAAGCCGATTAGTTACAATCCCTGAGCACTCCTAGCCACTTCGAAAGCCGGGAAATCATATCGCAGCCCCCGAGAGATGGCGAGGTCCCAGAAACAATAACAGTTCGAGGATGATGTGATCGAGGACCTGACAGCAACTCACAAGGCATGAAGGGCATCTCGTGGGGAGCAAGCTGTTTCTCTTCCCTTTGTCCCCCTGCAAATGATGTGCAAAGCGCCTCGCGACCTCGCGAGCATCGCTGCGCGGGCAATGACGGGCAATGAGGATGATGATCGTATGTCAGGCGATACTTTTTGGCCCCGCCCCTTGCGATGGCCAAAGTGGCTCGCTACCCCGCCCCTGCGCTGCGGGTCCGGACGGGACAAGCCTGAATTCTACCGCCGTGCTGTTGTGGCGCTCGCTACCCCGCCCTGCGCTGCGGGCCCGGACGGGGCAAGCCTGAATTCTACCGCCGTGCTGTTGTGGCGGCCTCGTCAATGTCTCAGTGGACGCCCCAGTACGCGGCGCGCTTGCGCTTGCCGCACACGCGCCTCGGGCGAAGACCCCAGGCGCTCGCGACAGTCTCATCGGGCGACGCGCCGCTGAGCAGGCGCCCGTTCGGCAGGATCGCGTCGACCTCCTGCGTTCCACGGCCGAGTCGCCCGTAGCGCCACTCGCACCTCAAACGGCGGTACAGTTCGGACAGTCGCATGCCGGGCGAGGCGTCGGTTCTGCAGCGCTCCGCCCCGATGAAAGACAAAAACTTCACGCGTCTGCCCTTGAGGGTCGCCTGCAGCATCAGCATGGGCAGCGCATGGGGCACGAACGTGTAGATCGACGAGGGGGGGTTCAGGATGATGCCCGCGCGGCCGAAGCCGCACGCTGTAGCGGCGCCGTCGCTCCTGATGAGCACCGTGCTTTTGTAGCCAGCAGTCACCCTCACGTAGGTCACGTCCGCGACAAGCGGCGGGATGTCGCACTGGTGGAGATAATTATCCCCGTAAGCCACGGCCGTGCCATCGCATCGAAGAAGAACCGTATGGCCATCGCCAACGGCTACATGCGTGTATGTGAGATCGCCAGGAAAAGCGGGGAAGTTACACTGGCCATAGTGATTGTCGCCGCGCGCCACACAACTCCCATTGTGCTTCAGGAACGCCGCGTGGCCGTCGGACGTGACCACCTGGACGCAGCCACTTTCTATGTAAACTGGACCATCGTCGTGCCCGAAGGTGCACGCGCGAGCTCTGCCGTCGTCGACCCGGAGAGCCAAAGTCTGCCCCGCCGCGGCGATTTGGGTATACACTAGCCCCGCGGCAGGGTGCTCCAAGGTTGAAATGCTGAAAACGTGCTCAAAGTTTGAAATGCCGAAACTGTTGATCCCAAGGATTCGGTCTCTTGTCATTGCGACCTCCACCATGCCGTCGGTGCGGAGCATCGCGAAAAAATCATACCCACCTGCGATTTGACGGTACTCTATTCTATCCCTGCATATGCAAGGCAGACCATGCTTTAAAACTGAACAAATGCTACTAGACGAAATCACCTTGACGCGCCCGTTGCTGTCGAGCAGGATGACGTGTGTCTCACCACGGACCCCGCAGGTATCTATCTGCGTGTACTTGCATATGGTACTATCTGAGACCGACCACGGTCGCTCCTTGTGATGACTCCCGCCGTAAATGCTGGTATATGCAATTGTTCCGTTGCTCGTCACTAGTAAGACCAACGGCGCCGGCCTGCCGTAAATGCACACAGCCGTCATTCGCTCCGGTGTCGCAAGTACGTCGGTCGCAAGGTGTCGCAACCGGAGTTAGTCGATAATACAAAGATGTTAGAGGGCCCGAGGGGCAACCTCGTCTCTGAGCCAAAACGCATCGGTCAAAGCAGAGTCTGAGACGTCGTCGTCGTCGTCAGCGCCATGCGCTATGCGACAAGGGAGAGGTCGCTATGTTGCCTCGCCCACCAGTAGTCAATGGAAGCGGCATCAATGGGGCTCAGGGACGTAAGAGGAAAAGGGGTGAAAAGCTGGATGGGGAAGCATAGGCACGTTACCTCTAGGACAAGAGGAAGGCATGGACACGTTACCTCTGTGTATAGTTGGATAGGGCGAGGAGTTGGATGGGGAAGCATGGCGGGAGCAAGAAGATATAGCAGCAGAAAAAACAGCGGCCGCGAACAAAGGGGTGGCGACGAGAGGCGGGCAGCGGAAGCAGGGGGGCCATGTTTCGAGACACGCCGGCAACCGGGCGCAGTCGATGCAAGAAAGCCGCAAGGCCGAGCTGCTCTGCCAGCAGCAGGGCCTCTTTCCGGCACTTTTCAGTGCGTGAGCTAAAATCACGCAGGCGTTTCGCGAGGTCCGCAGGCGGCCCGCGAGAAAGGAACTGCAGCCCCGGGTCCCAGATCATCAGGAGATCGTCAATCCTCGTGGCTCTGGAGAGCATCACGTACAGGTGCAGCCACGGGCCGTCGTGGTCGTGGTCGTCCTTGCACCCGGCGTCGACGACGACCCCACGGCGCATGGTCCGGCCCTGGCACACCGTGGAGGTCAGGACCTGAGCGTGGGAGATGGGGAAGCCGGTGCGCGTGACCTTGTGCTTGATGCGGAACAGGAACGGACTCGAGGTCTGCGGCTCGATGAACACCAGTCGCGCCGCGTCGGAGGCGTCGATGTCGCCGCCGTGCTCCGCCAGCTTCTTGCCGAAGGCGGGGGCCGTGTACTTGTCCATGCGGACCCAGACGCCGAAGGGCAGGTACCGCAAATACGCCTGTCGCCCCTCTGCCTTTGCCGAGTGCACCTGCGCCTCGTCCAGGGGGTTGATAGCTACGCTCACCACCTCGCCCTCGGCGTCCTTGACGAGGCCCTTGTCGAGGTCCAGGTGTTCCAGCAAGCGAATCCGCATGCCCACGTGCAGGGCAGCATCCCGTGCACGCCGCCCGTCACGCTCGGGTTGACCTGGTTCACGAGCTTCGCGGCCATGTCTGCGGGGAGCGCGGGCGAGGACGAGTCGGCAGCCTGGACGAGGTAGAGCAGCTGGCCGAGGGTCGCGGCGTCTCTCCTCGCTCGCATCATCATCCATCGAGCGACGGTGTCCCAGAACCAGGCGATCATGTGCCCCGTCTGAAACCTCTCCTCGCGAAGGCGGGGGTCGTCCTCCCTCATCTGGATGCGGCGCCATGTACTTGCGATGTTTTCCGGGACATTCTTCTTCGGCTTGCGCATGAAGTTCATGAGGTCGGCGAGGTCGGTGTCCTTGAAGCGGTTCGTGGCCTGGGGCTCGAAGCAGAGGGACGTGCTGCAGAACAACGTCATGGCCCTCTGGTGCTCGACGGGGGGCCCTTCCCTCCCGCTGTCGACGGTCGCTAACTCCTGCAGGTCGGACAGCAGAGAGATCCCAGAGCCTGTAGGCTTCAGCTGCAGGAAGTCCCCCAGGTAGATCACGATCGGGACGCGTCCGAAGGCGCAGGAGGCCTTGAGGTATTTTGCCTCTTGCAGATCGCACTGATGCCGCCTGGCGTGGAAAGCGCGGTAGGCGAGCATGTTGAAGAGGTTCGGCGACACCATGCTGACCTCCTCGATGACGAAGAGGTACAGGTCGCCCCAGATCTTCTCCAGCCGGGTCCGGACGTCAGCCGCGGGTACCATGTTCAGGTTGCGGTGCTCCCCGATGCCCATCTGCGCCGCCCTGTGGCACGTGGTCGCCCTGTGATGCTCTGTGGAGATGTTCTCGCACTGAGACCACTTGGCGCAGACGATCTGCGTGGCGGAATGCCCGAACAGGAAGTCCATGACGGGCAGCACGATCTCCTGGATGATCGCCGTCTTGCCAGAACCGCCCTGGCCCATCAGCAGCATCTGGAAGGTTCGTCGCTGCGCCCAAGGCTTCTTCTCGTTCTCGTCGTCCCAAACTTTGTTGCAGGTATCTGCGAACTTTGCCAAAAACAACGTCTGGTCTCTCTTCAGGGTGCGCGGCGCTCGCCCCCCGGCGGTCGGGTCGACAGGCCCGTCCTCGAACTTTTTGGCGAGGTGCGCCACGTAATCGCTCGGGCGGCGCCAGGCGTCGCTCGGCGCGAAGTACGCTTTAAGATCGGCGCGGCGCGGGTTCGGCGCGCTGTTGTTCTGCGGGCCCGAAGGGCAACCGCTGTCTTCTGCCGCCGGAGGTGGGGGGCAGTCCGGGCTCGGCTCAGCTCCGTCTTCTTTCTTTGCCTTCCAAGACGTTCGCTGCGCCTCTACCAGCGCCTTCAGCTCGTCTGGGCCCAGAGCAGCGAGCGCCTCGTAGCGTCTCTGCACGTCTTCTGCGACGCGGGTCGCGCGCTCGTCGGCGCCGTCTCCTCGGTTCCCTGGCGCGGGCAGAGCCCTTGCGGTCATTATCTGGCTCTTCAGCAGTTCCTTCACGAAGGCTTGAGTGCGTTCGGCTGTCTCGAAGAGAAGGATTTTGTTCAGGAGCTCTGGCTTGAAATGATGGGCAATGAGGGTGTTCTGGCCCGGGGAGACCAAGCCGGCCCGCGCTCGCAGGGCGGCGGCCTCGATCTGGCCGTCCGCCTCGCCGTCGTCGTCACCGCCGTGGTGGGCGACGAGTTCGGGGAGAGCGACGGCGTCGTCGGCCTCTCTTTTGCTTGGGCTCTGTGCGCGCCAGAGCGATGCACGCGTAGTTGGCCGAGGTGCGCAGCGCCACGTCAGCGACGTACTCCTGGACCGAAGGCAGCAAGGAGCGCGGCTCTTCTGGAAGCGCGTCGGCGCCCGCGGCCTCGAGGCCGCCCTCGTCGGCGTCCCGCGCCGGGCCCCTCTGCGCCGCCCGTCTCGTCGCCTCTGCGTCGATGAGTGTCAACCGCTGGCGCACCTCGACGGTGCGCCACAGGCAGCAGGCACCCGCCGACCGCCGCGTCTTGCACTCCGCCTCGTTCGCCGCCCTTACCTGCTCGGCGCGGAACGTCTCCCAGCCGCGCTGGAACGGCCCGGGCCGTCCGGGGCCCAAGTTCTGGGCTTCCCATGTCTCCTGCCCAGAAAGCGCCGTGCAGAGCTGTTTGTACGCCTCCTGCAGGCACACTCCCCTGCCGCCGTCTTCTTCCTTTGCGGGCGGCACGCGCACGGGCCGAAAGAGGATGGACAGCATCATGTAATGCGGCTCCGCGTTCGTCACGGGGATGAACTGCATGCCATCCAGCATGGGCACGCGCGGCTCCATGGCCAGTCGCTGCACGAACGTGTTCTTCGAGGGGTAGGCGTCGTCGAACTCGATCTCCACGTAGCGCGCCGGTGGCGGGCGGTCGGAGGACTTCTTCTGCACCGTGAGGTTCTTCTCAGCCCGGTATACCCACATGCTGTACACGTACAGGTTCATGTCGCGCACGATAGGGTCATCGCCGCGATGCAACCAGTCATCCAGCTGACTCATCACGAAGCTCGTAGACTTGCCCCCGGTGGCATCAGCGCCAGGGCCGTCGCCGCTCTCCTCCTCCACGGCGCCCTCCTGCAGCCCCTTGACGCAGTTTTTCAACGCGCGAACAAACGCACCCGCCTGTGCGCTCGCCTGCCCCGAGAGCTTCTGCGACTTGAGCGTCTCTTCCAGAAAGTCCAGCGAATCGTACTCTTTGCCTTCGGGGCTTGTGTATATCGGATAGCCGTCGCGGACCTGTTGTTGCCAATCCGGCGGGAGCGGCACCACGGTGCCGTCCTCGCACGTGTAAGTGGGCTGGCAGTGCTCATCCTCTTTCGCTTGCGTCTCCAGCTGGCCGTAGGCGGCTTGCCACGCAGCGTTCGCCAGGTATTGGGCCTTGCGCGTGAACACGCTCCAGCAACGGTGCGTAGTGAAGGCCATGTGTCCGAAGAGCGCGGGGAACACCATCTCGGACCCGCTCTTCCAGGAGGCCCGGCGGAAGCACGTCTCCATGCGACAGAGAAGCTGGGTGGTGCGCTTCCAATCCTTCTGGCTTCGTCGCGCAGGGGCGCCCGCGAGCTCGCCCTCCCGAGGCGGCGCGTCGTCGGCCTCGCGCCATTCTTCCGCGAGGCGACGCACCCCAGCGAGCAGCTTCTCGAGCGCCGTGTCCATCGTGGGGTTCACCTTGGTCGTGTAAGAATTGATGTAGTAGCCCGTGTTGTGTGCGTCCACGAACATCGCAAGGGCGGACCGTCTGCCAGCCGCGTAAAGCTCCTCGGCCTGCTGATCTGCCGCGCTGGCCTCGGTCCTCTCGGCGTCCTGCGCCGCGGGCGCGGCGTCGTCGTCTCCTCTGCGGGACTGCGCCGGGCCCGAAGGGCAACCGGTTTCGTCGGACGGCAGCTCCCCGAGGTCCATCAGCGCCTTGTGCCAGTCTGCGATCACCAGCGCGGCGTGAGAGCGCTTGTCTGTCGTGGCCAAGTGCTTCATCCAGCCCCAATCCTCCTGCTCGCCAATGCTGATGTCCCAACAACGTTGAGGGTAGGCGCCGTGCTCATAGTCTGGCGCCTCCTCGGAGACGTCGGCAGCGGGCTCCAGTTCGGACGGGTCCATCCAGAGGTCGGGTCGCAGGACTCTCCGCAGGTCCTGCACGTCCAGGTTGGACTTGATGGCGACCATCCCCGTGTAGTTCGTACTGCACTCGCCGGGGTGCTTCTGGAGAGTGATGATCCTGCCCGCCATGCCGTACTTTGTCTCGCGGAAGATGCCGATGACGCCACGCAGGGGTTTCCCGCGCCGCCGGAAGCGCACCGCCTGGTCGGGCTCTTCGCCGCAGAGATTGACAACGTGATAAAAGTTGTGGCGGCAGATTTTCGAGGAGCCCTTCGAGTGGTACTTGAAGCACGACTTGCTGCACACGTGCACGGCGGCGCCGATCACGAGCTCCCTCGAGTGGTTGACCATCTCCCGGATCCACTCGTCGGACATCAGCGCCTGCTCGAGCTCATGCAGGGCGCTCTGCGCGCTGCTCCCCATCTGGAACTCGCAGAGCTTTCCCGGGGCAAACTCGTCCAATGGCGTGGACCACAGGCTCTTGTTGTTCTCCGCGCGCTCCCTCAGCCACGCATCCTTGTCGACGGCGACGTTGCCTTTTTCGCCGCGGAGGTGCAGGTTCGGCGCAATTCCATCCTGCCAAGCATCTTCCTCGGCTTTGTCTGGGCAATAGTAAAACAAGGGCACGTTGCCCTTCCACGGGGATCTCCCCGACCTCGAGCTCCGGCGGCAGCGGGCCGGCCAGGTCGCCGCGCAGGAATCGCGCCTGCTCCGTGACCGCCGACTCCTGCACCGACGCCACAGCGTGCACGAGCTCTCGCATCCACAGCGCCACGTTGGTCTTGAAGGTGGCCCGGTCTCGCATCAGCGCGCTCAGCAGCTCCTGCATGGAGATGAGCACGAGCCAGACGAGAATGTGGGGGTGCAGGGAGCCGCGCCCCTGTGCCTCGATGGCCCCGAAGGCCGCTTGCACGGGGCCCAGGATGCTGTCTTCGTAGAAGTCCGCGGCGCAGCCGTCGAAGTAGCGCGGCCCGGACGTCTTGCGCGCTGCGCCGCGGCGCCAGCCGACGACGTCGGCGCGGACTCCGAGGACGTGGACGAAGAAGAGCCGGATCATCAACTCGAAGACGAGCGTCTGGCCCACGGGATCACCCGCGAGCCTGCTCACCATCTCCCTGTACGTGGGATTCAAGTCCGCGCCCTGCTCCCCGAAGTAGAACTCCTCGCCCTGCACCACCAGCAGCAACGGCTGCTTCGTGTCCGCGAGGTTGGGCGTCAGGAAAACCAGGGGCGGGCCGAAGCGCAGCGTGTACGCGACCCCCTCGCGGTGCAGGAGCTTGCGGTGTCCGTTGGATCCCAGGATGCCGGAGGTGCAGCGCTGCATGGAGGACAGCGCGTTCCGGAGCATCTCTGGGATGTCCTTGTCGCTCATCAGTCCCTGCAGGGTAATCTTCTTGCCCTTCTCGTGCATCGTTAGTATGGCCTGCTGCAGGTCCTCGGGCTTGATGTTTTGCAGGCGGCGCGCAAAGCCGAAAGTGCCCGGGGTCTTGAGGGCCGTGTGAACGCTTTTCGTGGTCTCGGTCACACGCCAGAAGGAGTGGAGAAGATGCAGCGCCTGCCGCGAACGCCGGAAGCGGTTGACCTTGGCGGCCACGTAGGGCGTCTCCTCGCCGGGCAGCGTGTACTCGAGTTCCTCCCTCCGCATCAGCACCTCGATCCACTCGATCACGGACAAAGGGTGGGGCTGATTTTCAAGGCCCCACGCGCAGTCGCCATAGGGGAAGTCCGCGGGCCTGGCAACGGCCCAATACTTCGCGCCCCACCAGGTACAAGCCTCCCTCGTGGTCGGAGCTCGCAGCTGCGCCCGTCTCTGCGGCCCCGCGCGGGCAGCGCCCGCTTCTGGGGCAGCTCCCGCTGCAGCGCGTGGCTCTGCGACGCCCGACGCGCTCTCCCCCGCGTCGCATTGTCCGGGCTCCGACTGCTGCTGCGTCGGCGCGCGCGTCGGCTCGTCCGCGGCCGTCGCGACGAGGCTCGCGCCCACGCTCGCCCCTGCCTCGAGGCTTGCCGCGTCGCCTGCCTCGGCGTCAACCTCGTCGCCGCGCTCCGAGCGGCCGTTTTGAATCTGCTGGACTCGCCACAGCAGCTGCGCAGCTTCTTTCTCTGGAGACATCTTCCGGCACAGATCGTGGATCTCTTTGCAGGCCTTGAGCAGGCGCTCCCTGCCGACCTCGTCGAGGCCCTCAAACCCGCCCTCCTCCACCTTGGCGTACATCTCGTTGGCCACGGTGCGGCCGCCGAGCGCGTCCGCGTGCTCCAGGATCCGCTGCAGCTGCGGCAGGGTGGAGATCTCCGCGGCATCTGCTGTATCGTCGTCCTGGACTGACAGCCTGGGCACAGGGTGCGCCGCTTCCGCGTCTGCCGCGGCTTCCCTCTCCTGCGCCCCGGCGGTCGTCGAGGAGGCAGGCCCCTCTGCCTGCGCCGCGTCCTCGTCGTCCGGGTCGACTCGCGCGAAGCGGGCGCACGACGCGAAGCAGCCAGGAACGGCGCGCTCTGCAGGCAGTGCGTCTTTCAGGTCTGTCCTGTATTTGACCTTATCGTCTGCGTACACGTAGTTCGTCTATATCAGGCGCCTGGCCTGTCGGTCGAACTCCTCTTTGCACACCTCGAGCTCCACCTCTTTGCGGAGCCGTTCCTTCGCCATCTTCTCGCGCTCCATCTCCGCCGCCGGATCGCCGCCGTCGATGAGCTCCTGCTCTTTGGCCGTGGGCCGCTCGGGCCCGGTGAACACCGCCGCGAAGGTGTGTTGGAGCACGTCGTCGCTCGGCGGGAAGCTCTTCATGGCGTCGTCGATGCTGCAGTTATTGAAGACGATGCCGGTGCCCTGGATGCCACTCTGGAGGAACTCCTGCCGCCAAGTCTGCGCGTGCTGCCTGGCGTTCTCGTCCACGCCCTGGCTGGAGAGATAGACTTTAGTGGACACGACGCGCCCCAGCGCGAGGAGGAGCTGGTGGCCCAAGGACGCTTCCCGGAACATGGGCGGGTGGCGCCCGAGCCACAGGAAGTTGGACAGGGCACGAGGCGCGAGGCGAGGCTTCTGCCCCTTGTAGCAGTCCTTGCAGCTGCGGCAGACGCGCACGCGCTCCGTGCCCGCGCAGGCGTCCTCGGAGACGCGGCGCTTGCGCATGAGGACCTTCGTCGTCACCCAGGTCTCCCCGTCCGGGGCCAGGTGCGGCAGGTCCACGCTGGAGGCTTCCAGCTCTTCCTTCGGTATCCGCCACCACTGCTCCCGGTACCAGTCGGCGGACAGCAGGTCGGCCACCTTCGCGGGGTCCTTCATGAAGCAGTTGGGCCCCGCGATGAACTCCCAGGTGAGCTCGTCGTTCCAGTACTGCATCGCGCAGAAGGCGCAGGCGACGAACTGACGGTGCTCGGGCGCAGGCGCGTCGACGGGCTGTGCGCGGCCATCCGCCGGCCGCGGGCCCTCGTCGACGAGGAGCTCTTCCACGGCGGCGACTGCGTTCAGGTGCCGCTGGGCAACGTCATGGCCGCCAGAGGCGAGCGCCCGATAGAGCGCGCACCAGAACCGAGCGAAGCTCGGCGGGGAGGCCGAGGTCCGCGGGGCAAGCTCGCGGCCCTTGTAAGCGAGGGCGAAGGTCATCGTGATCCTGCGCTTCTCTGAGGCAGTCACGAAATGGGGCTTCTCGCTCTCCAAGCAGAGCCACGCATCCCGCGCTCGCTGATCCCCACCATGCACTCGCCGCACGTGCTTCTGCTCAGCTTCCCGCGACGGGAAGGAGGCCTCGCAGATCTTGCAGGCGCGCGGCAGGCAGGGCGGCGCCGACCCGCGGGGCTCCCTGCGCAATCGCGGCGGCATGGCCGCGGCGCCCGCGATCCCGGGATCGTGCAATCGACTCGGCCAGTCAGACGCTTCCATGTGCTCTCGCACGATCGCAACGTCCTGCGCGGTCACTGCGTCGCACCCTAAGGCCGTCGCAAGCGCGGGTCGTTCGCCCGCCATTCCGAAGACTGCGTCGTCGTCGAGGAGAAGCTCGTCCAGCCGAGCGGCCACGAGCGCCGGGCTCCACGTTCGAGACTCCAGGCGAGCGCTGGCGGCCCCGAGCTCGGTCTCCGTAACCCCCAGCGCCTCCTGCAAGCGCGAGCACGTTTTCTCGTGGGCCTCTGCCGGGGGCCGACGCAGGTAGTGGAGCCACTCGTGGCTGCAGTCGGCGCCGACGTAGGACGCGACCTCGGGCAAGTCGGCCAGAAGCGCGCCCAGGTGAGGCCCGGGAAAATGCGGGGCCAGTGCGCGCAGGCAAACGAACACGTCGCCGAGCCACCTTCGGCGCTTCTTGGCCTCGCGGAACATCGCCTGCTTTGTTTGGAAAGCTCCCACGGGGCACGTGTCTGCCTGATCGTCGTCCAGGTCGCAGCGCTTCCCGTCAGAATTGTCAGCGGCCTTCTCTGCGGGTAGTTTTCGCAGCTGCTGAATCGCGGTCCCCTTGCTGCCTTGGTGCTGATCCTTGCGGCCCTTTCGATTCCGCTCCTGGTTCTGGCCGCCGCGGTCTTGGTCCCGGCCCTCGCGGTCTTGGTCCCGGCCCTCGCGATTCCGCCCATCGCACCGCTTCTTCTTGAGGGCGGCATCCTCCGGCGACACCATGCCGCGCTCGGTGGGCGTCTGGAACCCGGGGGCGGTCGCGGAGTGGCCAGGCGGCTGCTTCCCCAAGAGCCTCATGCGCTTTCCATGCGGCTGCTTCCCCCGAAGCCTTCTGCGCTTTCCCGAATGGACCTGTAAGGCATTTCCTGTGAATAACTGGTTCGGGCTCAAGCTCTCCACGGGCACTTCGGGGTCTCCCACGCGCTCGAGAAAGCAGATGTACGGGTAGCGCGTCGGGCACTCGTTCTGGTCGCGCACGAGGGCTTCGTTGTCCAAGTCGTCCACGGCGTACCACTTGTCGTCCTGCGCACGGAAGGAGGCGGTGTAGTGCCCCTCGTCGACACCTGGGTTGCGGTAGTGGACGCAGGCGCGGAGACGGTACACGGCGAACTGGCTGTGTTCGCAGCCGTCCGCGCAACAGGTGCGCAGGTCCACGACCCCTCTTCCCTCCCAGGTCACCGGGCGGAACAACTCGGGGTCCTCCGGCTGAATCCACGACCGGTCTTCGCCGTCGTCTGGGTCTCCGCCTCCTTCTATCTCCAAGATCAAAGACTGCGGCAGGCGAACGGCCAAGGTCGCCGGGGTTGCGCGAAGCTTCATATCCTCGGTCGACAGTAACTCCTGCAGAACAGCAGGCCCGTTGATGGGGTTCTGCAGCAACAGGTCACCGAGACGCGTGGCGGCGACCACGCCTTCGGACGGCGTGAGCACGTCGTCTGACCGGAGAGGCATCATGGCCCCGGGGTGCCCGGGCGCGTGAGCCGCAAAGCACGCGGCGCCCATCCCCGTCTTGTCCAGGAGGAAACCCAACAGAGGCGCAGCGTCGTGCTGCGATTGGAAGTCGAACCGGAGTGACGCGTCTCGCGTGCCGCGCGACGCACTGTCGACCGCGTCGACCAGGCGGCACGGCGCGAGGACGTCCCAGTGCAAAGGCGCCGCCCCTGCGGGCACCTGGACTCCATCGGTGTAGTCGCGAACAAGGTCCTGGAGTGTCTCGCGCAACTCGCTCGCACGGTCCATCTCAAGAAGGTGCTCGCGAGGCTTTGCGCAGTGAATCAGGCAGGTCACCACGCTGTTCATGTAACAGGTGTTTGTCACGTTCACGAAGAAAGGGGAAGGGGAGGAGCCGCAGTGCGAGTCGCCCTCGCCCATCTGCTTCTGGATGCAGGGAAGATATCGCGGCGCACGCACATCGTGCTGCCTCACGAACTCCTCCAACTCCCGCTCAGCCTCTTGCTGCCTCTGCAGCACGAGCGCCAACGGCGCGACTTCCGCCTCGATTCTGCGCAGCAGCCTGTGCGACTCGGCTCTGACCGAGCCGGAGTCCCTTTGCGCTCTGGCACATAAGCGCTCGAACTTCTGCGCGAGACTCTTCTCATCGATGGGCGCACAGCCTGCGCTCCGCGGCGGGTGCCCATCCTCGATAGCATGTTTCCAGTAGTCATGGCAGATGCGCAAGTCCTCGTGCTCCGTTGCCAGTTCTGGAAGCAACGAGCGGGTCCGAGGCGCGAGGTCAGCGGTGGGCGAAAGCAGATTTCGACGCATTTTCCTAGCACGTCGGGCGCCAGGGCTGGCATTGCCGCCGCATGTACTCCCGTGGGCACGCCAGCGCGCCACGATTGCCTGGGTCTGCTCGAAACTTGGGCGGTCCCGAGCCGCTTCAATCCGTGTCATGAGCTCGCTCCCCGCTGGGCCGAGCTGCTCCTTGGTCTTGCCGCGAAGTTTCCTGAACTGGAAATAAAACTTCTTCTCCGTCTCTCTCGTCTGCGACGGCAGCCTCCCGCCGTGCTCCCGCAGGTGCTCCAGGACGCGCTGCAGCGTTTGAACTGCGTGCTCCGAGCCATCCGACAACGGCTGCCCTGCCGCTTCCGCCGTCGCTGCGGGCCTCTTGCAGGCCGGCATGGCCGTCGAGGGAGGTCGACCCCCGCCCGGTTGGACCGTCTCGCAGAATGCAATAAGAGACAGGAGTGCCCGACGGGCAAACTCTCGCTCGAGCCCATGAGCGGCGGGGCGGCAGCATTGAGACGGTGACAGAGAAACCTCTCCGGCCCGCGGCGCTGCCCCGCGTCCGCCGGAGATCCGAAACCGACTAGCATGAGAGCTTACTGGTTCGACGAGCAACAACAGCAAATCGGCGCGACCCCTGGCGGCCCCGAGGCAAGCGAAGGCAAACGTCACTGGACGAGTGCAAGAACGTCACTGGACGAGTGCAGCGATAAATATAACGCAGGCTGCTCTGAGCGATGCTGCGCTGCTGGCCTAAAAGGACGACGCGTTCGACGGGGACACGGCACTTGCAAGGATAAGAATCTGCAGGCCCGACGGGCAACTGCGACAATTCTCCCGGGACTCCAGATCGACCGAGCGCGAGCCAACGCGAATGCAACGATGGGATGAAGAAGATTTTTCCTGCCGAAGAGAGACTCAGGCAACCAGCTGCGTCAAATCGGCACGACCGCGCAGGAAGCTGAAATACGCCAGCGTTCAAAGCAAAAGTCGCTGACGAAGACAACGCAGCGCTTCGGGAGACGCTACTAGAGGTAAGAGGTATGGAGTGCCCGTCGCATTCCATCTCTGCACCGTCGCCTGTGCCGTCGTCGTCGGAGAGAATGAAAGGAGGCGGGAATGCGCCTGGCCCTGTCCAGGAGATTTACTCCAGTTAGCGGCCCGCTCTTTCAAACGAGCAGGCTGGCAAAGCCATCAGAATGGCGAGTCCCGCAGGAAATAGAAGCTGCACTCGGCTGCATCAGAGGCGCTCTACTCGCGCCCCATCGCTGTGCGCCTCGGTTTTAATAGGCCCCCCCCCCCCTTTCTTCGCCGATCGTCGTCGACGCCGCGGGCGTCGCAGAAGAGGAGGACTGGGAGGGCAAGGAGAGCAGAGAGGCCACCGCGCCCTGTCCTGGAAATTCACTCCAGTGAGCGGCTTGCTCTTTCAAACGAGCAGGCTGGCAAGGCATGCAAAATGGCAACCCTCGAACAGTTGGCTCAGCTAGGCGCTGGGCACCAAAGACACCTAAGGCTTAGACTGGCGGGATTTGCCCGGCCGTCGCTACGCGATAGACCTCCGCTTCTTCCAGGCCGGCGGCGTAGTGGCATCCGTGTTCTGCGCCGCAGTGAGCATCTTCGTTGGTGTATCCTTTAGCCCGGGCACGAAGGACGGGCCGGCGTCGATGGCGTCTTTGTGCAGCAGCACATCCTGGCGGAAGAACTGCTTGAACTTGTCGAACGCACCGGGGACCTGCACGAACGCGTTGAAGACGAGTTCGTCCGGCGAGTCCCAGGAGAGAACCGCGTGCAAGTGCGCGTCCCGCGGCGTAATCCGGAGGCGCGCCCCCGCGTCGTCGTCGCGCAGCGCCACCTTGTACGTCTTATCAGAAGAAAAAGCACACGAGATCACCCGCGCGTCTGCCGCGTCCTCGGCGTCGTCCTTCTCCGGCGGATCGTCCGCGACCTTCGCCAGCGCGCGGAAGCTGTTCAGCGCGATGCCGCCGATCACCGTTAGGCCCAGCGCCTCGTCGTACGAGGAGTCGCACAGCTCGCACGGCGGGCAGGCGCCCTCGGTCGGCGCCAAGTGCACGGGGACCTTCATGGGGTGGGACACGCTGGCCTCGACCTGTTGGTTGCCGGGGGAGAACGTTTTCTGCGCGAGCTGCACCGTGGCCTGCGTGCCGGCGCCCCACGCGTCGCCGCCCAGAGTGACAAGGATAGTGAAGGGGACGGCTCCGACGTACGTAAGACACCGCCCTCGCCACGTGCGCCTCCTCAGACCACCTCGCCACGTCGGCGCGCCGGCCCTCCCCCACCTCGGACTCGGCTGCGTCCGCCACCACTTCGAAGGCGTCGAAGCAAGTCGCCTGGATAGACGCCGAACCGTCCCTCAGCACGAGCTTCCCACGCCACCGCGGCTTCCTTGCCTCCGCCGTAGCCGCAGGGTAACACGCGCACGGCGGCCAGGCGGCGTCGTTCCAAGCCTTGAAGCACTTGGAGCACACCATGTACGTAGGCATTCCTTCGATCTCGATGTGGACAGACGGGATCTGGAAGACTTGCTGAATGTCCCGGACGTGGTTTGTCTTCAACAGCGCATCGAGCACCGACAAGGTCATCCACTCAGACTTGGCGTTGGAGTAATCCCTGCGCTGCCCGCTCTCCACAGACCAAATCTTGGCCCCATCAGAAGTGGTGGGCGTGTTCTCCAAGGCTTTCTCGAGCTCCGCAGGGCACGCCGAGACCGCCGTGCGGGTGACGGCGCGAAGTCCCGCGTGACGCCGCGGATCCGCGTCTTTCCCAGGGTACTGCTTTGCCACGCAGGGGACGAGGACGATGTTTCCAACGCGGACGAGAGGGTCCATGGCCATCGTCGCGAAGTCCCGCCAGAAGCCAACCTTCATGACGTCGTCGTTAGCCCGAAGCGTCACGGAAGCCACGGGCACGTCGGACTCGCCATCAAGCTGCACGTGCGCGATCACCGGGGCCGCCGGGATGACGCGGCCGGCGACGCAGAGCAGGGTCTTCGGCTCCAGGGCCACCACGGATGGGAAGGGCGTCACAGGGTGCCACGCGAGAAAGCCCGGAACGTCGGCGATCGGCTCGAACGCGGTGTCGGGCAGAGCTTTCAGGTACACAGGCGCGCGCGAGGTTGAGAACCACTTCGTCTTGTCAGTGTGCGGAACTACGACGCACTTGGTGGCGCGGACCACGGAACCAACGAGGGCAAGCGGTTCCAGGCGCACTCGCACGTTCTCGCCCCATGCTTCGAACAGCAAGACGTCTTTGCCGGACGTGCCGCCGCAGAGGTAGATCTCCAAGACAGTGTCTGAATAGTTGCTCTTGTCCTTTTTGCCCTTCTTTGTCTTCGACGGCCGCTTGCCCTTGCCAGCTGCCTTGCCGGTCGTCGCGGGCGTCTCCGGCGCCGCGCCCGGCTGGGAGTTGCCGGCGCCCAGCTGCCGCGGGGCCACCGAGAGAATGCGGCCCACCACCGCCTTGCCCGCCGGCAGGGCACCGGCCTTGCGCAGCGCGCGAGGCAGCATGTCGTTGGGGCCCTGCGTAGACGTCGCCGCGATTCTCGCGTCGGCCATGTCTTGCCCCGCGTTTCGGACGGCCCAGGCCGCGAGGGAGCTGGTCAAATCTGAAGTCCGAGGGCCCGATGAGCAACCTCCGGCTCGAGCCAAGACGCAGGCGAAGAAAGCGACGTGGCTTCGGGGGGGCGAAGAGACCGTCGGCCGGAGAAAGAAATATGGGAGACGAGATCACAAAGGAGATACTTAGACTCATTCACGTGAGTCTTGACAACAGTACGATATTAAAGAGTCAGCTCTTTCAAGCAGATGCAGCTGCAGAATCTTATTACAAAGCATGCAACCGAACAGTAATGACGGACAACATAAGCATTCGGCCTCGTTTCAATGGATCCGTGCTCTCCCGCTGCAGTCGCGCGCCCCCGCCGCCGCAGCCGCGGCGCGGACGCGCTGCAAATTCACCGCGGGCGCCGCTGCACGAGGCGATCCTCGGCCCGTAGCAACCTCGCGCCCCTCATCTAAAAACGTTGGCCCCGATTCTCAATCATTATTGAAATTGGAAGCGCCTGATCTGCACCCAGTTCAGCACGAAAGCTCGAAACGCTTTTTCCATGGTTCTAAAGTCTGCAAGCTGGAAACGCCAGAGCTGCATGGAGCGCTCCCACGTACGCTTGGACAATCTCCTGTCTGTCGGATCCGGGGACCTAGGCTTCTTCGCGTGCTCGTAAAGCGAGTCCGTGGTCACCGCGATGTAGTCCGGGCTCCGCTTGACGGCCAGCACGCCCTCGGTGCGGTGAGCCTTCCGAGACTGCCAAATCTCCTCACTGCAGTCCTCGTTTGCGCCAGGAGCATCCGGCATGTCGACGGGGCTCTGACTCCTCTTCCGAAAGTCACCGCTCGAGCTGCTCCTTCTGCCCTGACAATTTGCGCTTCCGCCCGTACTCCTGCTCGGACGGTCGGCGCTCTTGTTCTCGGCTGCGACAGGGTCTCCTCCGACTCCGACGGCTGGCACTGCTGCTCTGGCTCCGCCTGTCGGTGCTCCGCGCCGTGGCACCTTCAACGGCACCGTCGACGCGTTGTTCATGGCCCAGGGAAGCTCCTGCGTTGACGGCGGCACGCGCACGAACATGGGCGCCTCCGGGTCTTCGAAGACGGGCAGAGCGCAGCTGTGGCAGGGCTCGCGCACATAAAAGGGTTCGGAATCATCCGGATCATCGTCTTCGGGGCTGCTTGCTGGCTCCGTCAATGCTTTCTGGCCGTCCCGCCACTGCTTGACCATCCTCTCAAAGACGCGTTTGCTCAGATCTGGATCCCACGGATCTGGCGTAAGCGGGCGGCTTTCGGAGCTCACTGCAGCATTTGCAGTCTGGTAATACGCTGCATTCAGTTTCACTGTCGCAGCGCACGTCTCCCGGTGCTCTGAGCCACGCACGTATTCATCATGCCCCATCGTCTTCGCGACATGTGCAGCTATCTGTCCCCCATCGGGACCTCGACGGGAAGCGTCTTCTGGAGCCCGCTCGGGATCCGGGATCTCGTGAACCTCGACCTCGTCCATGGCAAATCGGACCGCGCGCCCGTCTGCCATGAGTCCACGGCCGCTGAGCTGAGCGCGGAACAGCAGCGCGCGGCGCGGAGCGAGAAAAGCTCGCCCTGCTCGGCGCTCTAAGAAGGCCAAGGACACGACCCGGCTCAACAGATGAATCTCCGAGGGCCCGATGGGCAACCTCCAGCTCGGGCCAAAATGGCAGCGTTGAGGGGCGGAAGTCTCCGACGGATACGCGCGAACTTCCTGCCGAGAGTTGACAGAGGCGTCGGACGCGGCGAAGGGTTACGCACCCCGCGACGTTTCTGAGCGTAAGGGATGCAAAAGCAAAGGCAGTC